CTTTGCTGGTATTCCCTGACCAGTTGTCATAGTTTGTTAGGTCTATCAATTAACACCCCATGCCTAAGACTAATTTATCTTTTTGCTTGAATTTCTCAAAGCATATCAATTATCAAAATTTTAGTTTTCAGTTCAATTAACTTTTGAACTGGAGGCTGTCTGAGTAGTTAAGCGAACCATCTGGGTTTTACAGTGCATAAGCTCAAATCCAATTTGTGTCTTTCTTGAGAAAAATGCCATATTTTATGATAATATTACATAAGTTTGGAATTTTAATAACTCTTTTGCTGCAATTATGGAGAAGAGTAAGTTATAATTTCCCCTTTTAAATCTAATAATTAAAGGTTAGTCTTCTCCTAACAGAAGGTGAGGCTGGTGCTACAGAATATAGTTTGAACGCAGGAATTTCGAGCATCGCTTCTACTTTCCAAAAGTGTCTGGAGATGGGTCAGTTACATTTTTCAGTTATTCTACAGAACTGCATTACCATTTTCCAGATAACTTTAAAATTGTGTATACAACCATTGGCCTTCAAGGCTACAGATAGACTCTAATAGTTCAGCAGTACATGTTTTGTAAGAACTTCATATTATAGAATGTAAGTATATCTCTGTTAAAATGCATTTTGCCTTTTGCACTAATTCATTAATATAACATGGTCAGAAATTTGGGGTAATTAGTAAAACTATTAATACTAGGAATTTGAGAAAACACTGCTAAAGAATATCTTGTGTCTTCTGATGTTTATGCTATGAATTGTGTTGAACACTAAAAGAACCATGCTCGGTGTTACCATTTTCTTGTCTTAAGTGTAATGTAATCAAACCTGGAAGTGTAGAATATATGTACACCTTCAATACTGGAGGTTTGGTTTTACTTGTGATAAGTGAAGATACTAATTAAGAGGAAAATAACTTACTATATTGGGAATTCAATAGTTTTTAAAATTTTCCTGTTTTTACCCCAGTTCCAAATTGTTCTAGCCGAGTGGTAGCAGTGAAGAGTGGTTAGTAAAACAAGTTAATCAAATAGCTTACAATTTCAAATAATCATTTAGTAAGTAGAAAAGTGAACTGAACTCATTCAAAAATCATTTCCAATATACTACTTAGGCAAGACCAGTAATCAAGGGAAGAATAATAGTGACATAAAGATAAGTGGAGCAATCGCTAATAATAAATCTGATCAGGTGCAAGATCTTTTATTACAGTGCCTTTCTCATAAGGGCTGACTATTAGAGAATTGTTTCTTTACAACTGGTGGAAGATAAAGGCCCCCTGACACCCTGATTTCCTATTTTTAATGAAAACATGTCCTACTTAATGAGGAAGATCACCACCCTTTGAAATTAAGAGCAAATGCCTGTACTTCAGAGGCAGCCCTGGGCACATAAAGGCTGAACTTCAATCCACCTGGGCTGCCTCGTTTTTATTTATGGCCAGTTTGTGGCGGTAACTTGTTTCCTACCTTAGCAGTTAGCTTCATTTCATTAATGTTAGAAGTGTGATGGGAATGCTAAGGAAAAGATAAATAAGTGGCTGGGGACCCGGTGACTTAGGCTTTCAGAAAATCTGTACGTACACAGATTTTTTAAAAAAGGATTATCAGCCTGAAATTTTCATTGAAATCGAGTTCTTCACACAATGAAGATAAGAAAACTTGGCAGTGAAGATATAAACAGCAGAAGAAAATCAATCAGTTAGGAAATCAAGGAGGGGATTCTTAACAGTTAGGCTCTAGGAATAATTAGCACAAATTACCCAGCTCATTTTGAGACTCTGGGATGTTTCTGTTGAAGTTGTGTAGACCTCTGTAAACTACTTACAGTTCTCCTTAAGATGCCTGGGATGGCATTAATGTCAAGGTGACACAGTTTTTTTATGTAGACCATAGAATATTTGCCAAACCAGAGAAATTTTCTTGGACAAAATGTGAAGAAATGTGACAGAATCTTATAAATGTGTGATTTCTTTTTCTATATTTCTCTTTCCACCTGTGGAGAGAAAACCAATTGGAATATATTTCTCCAATTTCATATTTAAGCTTAAGAAAATTTATTTATTCTATGTACCTTTAAATTCTAAACAGAAAGATTACCATAAATTAAACTACTCTTTTAGAACAATAACAGTAAATAAGGATATATTCTGAATGTTCATTTTCCCTCAATAAAATTCATTTATCATCTCCTTAATGTTAATTTTCCATCAGTAAAATTCACTTACCATTTACTTATTTACTAGTGCTGATTTTTTAGTTGCTAATATTTGATGCATTTGAAAGAATAACACTGCATTTCTGTTAACACAGATTGCATAATTCAGGCAAGCGAGCCTGGGCTGCTTCCCACTTTGTGATCAGTGAGAATTTCTTAGGCATTACATGATCATCTGTTTATATTATTCTGATCACCTTAATAACAAAAGAGGATATTATGAAATAATGATAGTATGTCTCATGGCATTTCTAATTATATTGAGACAACTGCTTTTTCACCTTAATGTTTTTAAATGTCTTGTTCAAGTGAATGAATTGTCTAGCTTTGCTGGAATCTTTCTCTATTCGTGAATCTTGGAAAATGCTATTAGTTCTAATTTAGAGATTAAATAATACTTAGGCATAAGTCACATACTGTACCGGAAAGCAAAGTAAACTATGTCTGATTAATGACTTTACCCCATTTAGTAGTAAATAAGTAAATTCTAGAATTCCAAATAGCTGCTTTGCATAATCAAACCGGTCATATTGTCCCTTGAGAAATGTAAGGAATCCTAAGTCCTTGGTCAAATCCATGGGAATGTTCATGAGTGACAGTTAAACTGATGCATAAATTGGCCATTTGTTTACTGCTATTGGATGTCTACTCTGAATCAAATGTGAAACTCTGAATGGTACCTTCGCAATTACCTTCCTCATATACCCTTGTTTCGTGGGAAGAAAGATGTTTTGAAATTCTCAAAACTTCTACAACATTTATATGACATTTCAACTAACAGTTTTATTTTGGGTGTCTATATAAAGAAAAAAATAATTGGGCAGGTCAACACATATGAATGCTCCAAGATTTTCATCCTGATTTATAAACTGTCAGTGTATTGAATCAATACAATGGCATGCCAAAATATAATGGGCCAAAGTAAAAGTGTGCTTCTTTGCACTTTTTAAAAAGATATCCATCATGTAATATTAAATACAAAATGTTAGTTAGAAATGTCATATGTATTTATATACAAAGAAACAGAAAAAATATTGGATATATTATGTATTAACCATGACAAATGGGGTGAGTATAAAACGGTAACATATTTTATGAAGCCCCATTTCCTGACTTCAAATCCTGGCTATGCCCATTTCCAGCTGGGACACTGTGAACTATATAGTACTTAATCCTTAAATGTTTTAGTTTCTTCATTTATAAAATAAGTATAATAATAGTAAATGCAATATCTATATGTTTGTGGTGATTACATCAGTAATACATGTAGTAGGCTTAGAATAGTGTCTGGCTTACAGGAACTTTTAAGGGTTTGCAGTTTTTAGTAAAACTAAAAACTAAATGATGACTAATGAGATGGGGTGAATTTTATTTTCTTTCTTTCTCAGTATCAATATAGATATTGCTTATCTATATTTTGTGAAGTTTCTATGTGGCGCTAATTCCTGATTCAATTGACATAACTGAAGCTCTCTAATTCATGTCAGGAAAGTCTGTTTTCTCAAATCTCTTGTAAAACAAAGAAGAAATAGATATGATTCCTGTTAATTTTCTCTATTTTTGTTACATGGGGCAACTTTGACCGGTAGATATTCCCATTTGTTATCCATGTTCAGAACCAGGAAAATTTGATATTATTTTGTCTCCACTCAATAGTAAATATTTACTTGGCAGGTCACTGAGGGTGTAACAGGTCTATCTCCTGTTGGTTGGACACTCTGATACTAGTATTTAACCTCATAACATTAGTCTTGAAGGTTTGTGTTACAAGATAGAGAATTTTACATCACTCTAAGATCTAGCTTTGTGTTTTGCAAACAGAATGTTGGAATCACTCTGTGCCCTTTCCAGCCATCCTGACGTGTGTTTACCACCCATCCCTCCCATGGGACCTCAGAAAGAACCTGGTGAGTTTCACTACATTAATGCTAGTAAGAGCACAGTGATATTTGTTATTTCACATTCATTTAAAACACAAAATCAGAGAACAAACTCTGAGCACTTACTCCCTTTATATTTCATTTCATATGAAATAACAATGCCAAAAGTTAAAGGAATTATTGAGAACAACTGTTAATCACTTTTGGTTGGAATTTTAAAAAATTCATGTGAATATTGAAGTTTGTAGGAAATTATAGAGATAAATTTTTATAAGTTAGCAAGTTCCTCTAGAGTTGAGTTATTGTTGTTTTAAAATACATAAAATTCTTCAAAACAAAATATGTATGATTCTTTAAAGTCTTCTAAGTGTGATTAAGAAATTCTCTGGGCCTTGGAAAACTACTTGAAGACCTAGGGGCTTATTGATTCAAAGAAACTATTTTGTGTTTTTTCCCCTTTTTAAGTTGTTACTCATGTTCTTGGGCTTCAGGCTGTCATTAAGAGAAAACTCTTCTTGTACAGTGGGACTTGCAGAATAAAATCCTCCTTGGATTCTCAAAGGCACTGTTGCATAAAATGTTTTACCAGTTGAAATGTTCTGCAGTTTTCCATTCTTTTCCAAGCATCAAGTGGAAGTTAACTTCCTAACTTAGTTTCTGTGGACTGCATTTTTATTAATCCATCTAGTATTCAGTACAACTTATTAAAATTTGTAAATATAATATTAGAATCTGGAAGACATGCATTAGGTCTCTTTTGAAATTTTGATTGTTATGCTAATCTATAGCAAAATTCTTTGAATACTTTGACTAGACAATTGGAGTTGCCATGGTAACCTAAGAGTGTGTGCATGTTAACAGTCTAGAATTGAACGTCTATATGTGGAAATAAATACTGGTAAATATCCACACAGGAGTAGATTATAGTGAGTATAACAGCTTTAGTAGATAATAATCTTGGAAATCTGATAACCTTCTAAACTGAGGTCTGCAGCTTTTATTTATTTATTTATTTATTTATTTATTTATTTTTTATTTTTTTACGGTACTGGGAATCAAACTCATGACCTTGTGCTTGCCAGGCCGGTGCTATGCTGCTGAGGTATATCCCCAGCCCCAGAGGCCTGCGGCTTTCTGATATTATAAAAGGTCCATTAATTTTTTGGTATTTAGATTTTATTTAGGGTTATCTAAGAGATGATGAAAACCTTATTATCTAAGGGATGATGAAAACCTTTACCTTCAAATCTCACATGTCTCAGAAATCTCACATTTTCATTTTGTAGGGGAGCTTCTTAACCCATTGAGAGTGTAAGCAATTCCAATGGTTTAAATGAATGTTGAAAACCATTTAAGGGCTGGGGGTTTAGCTCAGCGGCAAAAGCGCCTGCCTGGCAAGCGCAAGGTTGTGAGTTCGGTTCCTGGTACCGGAGAAAAACAAAAAAAAAAAACCAAAAAAGAAAACCATTTAAGTCCTTTATATATATGGAACTTACTTATTAAGGGGCTTAACCCTCGTTTATTTAATGTTAAACAAAAGATACAAGTTTCCATCAAAAGAATCTCATTTCTTAACTGCAGATTATTGTAAAATTGTGTGGAAGGAGCAGAATAGCAGTCACTTAGTGATAATTTTTGAGATTTGCTAAAGATTCTACTCACACTAAAGTACTCTGCTGAAATGTCAGAAATATTTATCGAGAGAATCATAACTTCATGAAAGCTCAAAACTCTCCATACCTATCACTGCATCAGACATGTAGTAAGCATTAATAAATGTTGAATGAATGAATGGGTGTAAATTAAGAAACCAAGAAATGAAGCATTTTGTTACGTATATGTGCATCTTTTTCCACATAGACTAAAACTTTGTAATTGCTAAAAAAGAAAAGATTTTGGGAAAGTAGTATACTTGATACTATTTTTATGGGTTTTTTATACTGATTACATGTAGATGGCAGAGATACAGTACCATCAAACTAAGTAAAATGTTATGCAATTTATATGCTTTAAAATAAAATTGTTGAGCAGATTATTAGTTTTATGATATTATAGGTCTCTCAGTACTCATATAACTTTGTGGGGAATTGGAAGGCTGAATATGCAGAAAGTGTAAAAAATTGCAATAAAAATCATCATTTCCAACTGCTTGAGGGTTGATGTTTCTTTTTCCTTTAAAATGAAAAATATTTTTAATCAAATATGAATAGCTGTGTGTCAGTGTTGATGGCATGTAAAGTTTTGTTTTCAGTTAAACCGTTCTTTTGTAATTGTAACTTATTTTTATAAGTTCAGAAATGTCTGAAGACTGTGACCAGCAATTTATTTTGTGAAAATACAGTGTGAAAAATGGTAATTTTTCTTTCTGAATAATCTCAAAGCATTCCTCATTTTGTGACTTCTTGGAGTGTCTGTCTTTTTTATGGATGAAAAATAATGAAAACTTTCAAAATGCTTTCATAACTTTTTAGTTTATTTTAAGGCTATAGTCTAAAACATTGATACAACAAAAGCATTTTGTACACACCACAGTTATAACTATAGGTCGTTTAGTTGGCTGTAGCCTCAGCAAGTCTGTGAAACAGTTACTGAAGTCTATTAAATAACAAAATAAACTAAAGTAGTATGAAAATGTAGATCTTGGCATTTTCTCAGAGGAGAACAGTAATTTACTGGGGCCTTAAAATTGCCCAATGTTTAAAATAAATGATTATTTTTATGAATAGAAAAAGGAAAGAAAATTAGAACATAGGACCTGACGCGTTTTAATTTCTATTATGCATATATCTGTCTGTCTGTCTTCATTATTTATCATCTCACTTCTTGGGGCCTTGCCTTTTAAAGCAGCTTAGTGTAGTGCTTAAGAGTGAAGGAATTCTAGTTACTTTAGGGAGGTTAGAATTCTGATTCTGTCAGTTTCTAGCTGGAAACCTCATTCAAATTACTTAATTAGATAATAATAATAATAATAATAATAACAAACTCAAGAGTGTTCAGATATCGCTTGTCAAGTGTGCAACTTACTTCTCCGTGCTTAACAGAATTGCAATTGTTAGTCATAATTTCCTAATTATAAATGCATTATAAAGCACATTAGACTAAAAGACTTGTGTTTGGTGGCCTAGCTTCTACTTTTTATTAAAAGATAGATTGCTAGAATCACAAGATATACCTCGTTACAATACTGACCAACTTACCAGTCACAATGTGCATTTAGGAAGTGTGTAAACACAACACCTTGGGCCTTTGTAGAGTCCCGATTTATGCTGATGTCACTGCTGTTATCCTTTTCCAGGCCTTGCGTCTATCTACATGTTTGCACTATTTCAGTGCATGTGGTTGGTCACCTTTAAGCTGATGTTCTCTGAGCACCTTTTGTGCTTTCTTTCTGTGTCTTTATGATTCTAAAGGAACACATTTGCAGTAGAAATTCTTACAGGGAAAGCTACGCTAACAGACTTTTTCAAAGGAAGCTGCCTGGCAGGAGGGAGGTAAGTAGAAGTCCACACTTCTCTACATATTAACCAGGTCCAAGTCTACTGCAGATCTCTTCACCTTTCTGGGCTTTAGTTGCAGCATCTATCATCCTCAAGGAAAGAATGAAATTAGGTTTAAGAAAGGGATAGAAGGTAAGTAATTTTCTTTCTGTGTGACTGCTTCTCAGCTACTAAAACATCTTTATGTGTCATTGGCAAGAGAGAAGCGTCTTTCATGCTCCACACAGTAAGATTTCTTTATTTTTATGCAGGTTCATAGAATTGAGCCTGGGAACAAATCTCATTCTATATGCCCTCTAATTCTGTCTGCATCAGTCTCCACAAAATACTATGGGCTTCGAGTTACCCATTATCCATAAAATCATTCCTTCTAGATTTCTTTCCAATGAGATCTCCAATTAATCTTTGAAGTTTTATTGATAGGGTCATTGCCTGTTAGACAACAGTGGAGTGTTAGCTTTTAAGTTGAATTATGAGTTAGTTTGTGTTATTCTTTCAGTACATAATAATATTAACAGGAAAGACATTTTTCCTTCATGATTTCCCACTTCCAACATTAGTAGATAATTCACTGAAACACAACAGTTTCATTACCTGAAACACGTCTTGTCTCAACTTCTTTACAAACAAATGTGAAAAATATTTTCAGTGTGCCAAATCATAAACAAAATTTTTCATGCTAGGAGAAATGAATGATGTGATATTAAAAGTCTTCAGCAAATTTCGAAGACAGTTATGTGAGATGTAACAAATTCTTTTTAGCCCGTTATAATAATGCATGTATCTTGATCAAGATAGCATCCTGCACATTGTACACATCACCAAAAGGAAAGCCAACATAGTTTAGCTAATTTCAGTAAAGCTAATTTCTGAAGTTTTAAGAGTCAGTAAAGGGGCCTGGGATTTAGCTCAGCAGCACAGCGCCTGCCTGGCAAGTGCAAGGTTGTGAGTTTGATTCCCGGTACCTCAAAACAAACAAACAAACAAAAAAGAGTCAGTAAAGATTGATGGTATCAAGAAGTAGGTTACAGATACTTTTTACTTGAAATAATTTTGAAAAAATATTTTAAATTATAGGGAGATAATTCCTTTATGTGCCCTAATGCAAGATTCAAAGTGTACCTTTAGATCCATGATGTACAATAGAAAGATAATGCAAGATAATTATGACTTAAAACTTTCTGGTAGCACACTAAAAATTTAAAGAAAAACAAGTAAAAATTTTTAAACATACATTTTATTGAATTAATATGTCCAATAATTAGTGATATATTTTATAAACTTTTATCTTTCTAAACTTTGAAACCTCATCTATAACATAACTTACAGCACATCTGAACGCTGGTCACATTACATGGCTTGTGGTTTTTATATGGATGGCACAGCCTTGAACTTTACATTTCCAAGGACCTTGTTCTCTTATTTCTATAGGTATATGGTAAATGCACAGTAAATAGTTAAGAAAAGAAAGAGAAAGCGAAGACAAAGAACAGTATTAGAAAAATTTTGGAATCTGATGGATGATATAAC